GGTGAAGATCGCGTGCGTTTTCTGGATATCGAGGTGTGGGGAATTAGAAAAGGATAGCCCACACTGTCTCATCTTCACAAGATTTTATTCTTCTCGTCTTCGATTCTCGCTAGATTTCACAACTCTTTGACTCGACTGACTGACAGATTCCTTCGACTCAAAAGCTAATTAAATCACAAACAATTGTTTCTTATCTTCGAGGCACACCTCAGTTAAAGTACGCTGATTGGTTAGATAGGAATCTTCTAGACATAAGAACAACAAAGATTTCCAGACAAACATTTCACAATCACTAATTGATATCTATGGTATTATCCTGTTTCTGACAGAGGAAAGGCGTCTTGCTTGACAGTGCCCTTGAGGGCAGCCCATGTTGTGTTTTCCTTAGAGTTCCTAGCGCTGACTTTCCTGGCTTTTTCAGCATTAAAATCACCGTGTTTATAGTGCAGGTAATATCCCCGACATTGGTAGTATAAATCACCGGGCACTGCTTTCATCAGTAGGGTTCGTGGACTTCCCGATTTATCTGTTGCCGTCATAAAGTGGCGGAGGCCGGCCGGGGGGAGAAATGAATGCTGTTCAGTGGGAGTGGAGCTGGCAGATTCAGTGGAGTTGTTTCCTATGGTGTCTTGCTCGCTCTCGCTGTCAGTTGATGTTCCAGGGGTCATAGATATTTTATGGGGGCCTCCCTGTTCGTCATCACTCTGAGAGGGGGTAGGTATGTCGCGTTTGCGGCCCCTACTGGCCCTCAGCGCCATGATGGCTTTTTCCTCCTCTCGCTCGAGTTGAGCGCACCATTTGTGAATTTCCTGTTCAGTTTCGCGCTTTTTCAGCAGAATCTGTGCTCCCGCAGCAGTAGCAGAGGCATAAGATGGTCGCTCTGGCTGGGTGAAGAGGTCAGGGGATGTAGCAGCATCTATGTCCTCATGTTGTTCACCCCGGGTCCCAGGGCCTTGTTGGGGAGGGGGGGGCCCAGTTTGGTGCTGCTTTGGGTAATTTTTAACCACGTGCTCCGTGGACTGGCATCGGTGACACAAGCAAAGGAAATCAAACAC